TTTTTAAAGTTTAAGGATCAAAAAAGTGAAAAAAATTATTGAGGGACCAAAAATGTGCAACTCACTAAATTTGAGGGACCAAATTTAGCATTTAACCCCGGAGTAATGGAGCAGTAGCAGCGGCAGATGCCAGCATTGGACGGCAAAAAAATGCCGATTACATAAATAACCTTCATCATCAGACATAATACCAAAACTACCCTCTGCCACAGCCGTGTCTGTCTCGGTTGATGGTGACAGCCAGTTGGACATGGGAAGACGTTGAGGTAAACGACAACGGTACGAACCAATTTACCAGTCACCGGCCGATTTTTTTAACCACGTAAAAATCGCCGATTTTTGTCTGACAAAGTACCCTCCTTTCCATTTTTTTCTATTCATCTTCTCCCCCAAACACGTTTTTCAATTTCTCGGCCTTCTCTTCTTCTTCTTCTTTTTCTCCCCTCCGTGCACCTTGCTTTGAAGTTTGAACTTGGCAGAGAAAGGAAGAAGGGGGAGGAGGAGGAGCACGAAAACAAGAAGAAAAGGAGGCACAGCTAAGAGTCTGCTGCTTCCATGGAGTACCGGAGAGGTTCGACTACTGCTTTTGCTAAGATTCTTCCTAATGGCCACAGTTTCAACGGAAGAAGCATATACGACGGCGTATTCGGTGGTCGAAAAGAGTCAGGCCGATCGGGAATTGCGGATTACGGCGAGATATTTGGCGGTTCTGGTGCTTCGATTCCCGTTCTTGATGTTCCTGAGCTGAATGAGAGCAAGATGGTAGTGGATGTAAGAAGCTCGAAGGTCGACTACTCGAAGGTTTTTGGCGGGGTTTCAGAGTTCGATTTCGCTGCATCTGATGAGGAGTTGAACGCCAAACCAAAAATGGGGAAAAAGTACGGTATTATTTTTTTCTGTTTGGTTCTTGAATAGAATAAGTTGCTTTCATCCTAAGATTAATTACTAAAAAATTATTAGAAATGGAAGGGAAGGTAGCTTAAGTAAGAAAATGTACTAGCTTTATACCCAATGCTAACATTAATCTTCCAACAAGTTAGGAAAAAAAACTTGATCAAGTGAAGTTAGGTTTCTTAGTGGTACTAATTCTGATTTTGTGAGCTATTTAATGTCATATGGTTGTGGAATTGGCCTGGTAGCTTTTGTGCTGAATAAATTTGAAGGCTTTGGAAAGGATTTTGTATGTTCTTGAGTGTGTTACTTCTCTCTGGCATTTATGTTTTCAAGTTCATTTTGTTATGTTAGGACTCCCGCCAGGGCACGATCTCATTCAGAAAGCTCGTTTCCTTCAAATTTTCGGGAGGCGAATGAAGTTTCGTCAGATGAAGCCTCTAATCAACCTTTTCATGGAAAAAGGAAGTTCAACATGTCATATAACAAGACAGACACATGGAGCAAAAATGGGACTAATGGAACAATCCATGTAGCTCAGCTCCATGAAGTTCAGCTCCATGAAGTTCCTGTTTATTCTTTCCGAGTTGATGAAATGACTCCTTCACAGAGGCCTCAAGGTGACAAGCCAGTATCTTCTGCATCACGTGATAGTTGTCCAACCATCAATTTCAGTGGTGGAAGGATGCAAGTCAGGCATTGTAGGAGAACCAAGTCAGATCTTCCTCCTGATGTTGCTGCTAAACTGAGTTCCAAAGGTGATAATGAGTTTCAAAGAAAATCCAATGGCATTGGATCTGATCAAAATGGTATGTCTTTTGAAATACATGAGGTTGGCCTTGGTAAACGACCTTCCAGAGTGCCACGGGCTTCAAGCCTGCCAAACAACACAAGTAGTAAGAATTGCAGTTCTTCTAAATCTGGGGCTTCCATGAGACAGTCTTCAGGAGATGTTGCAGGTCTTTGTTCACCACCTTACTTTGATGAGGAAGTGGATGTAAATTCAGTTGCAGCTACCTCAGCAGCTGCAGTGAAGAAGGCAATAGAGGAGGCTCAAGCAAGGATAAAAATGGCGAAAGAATTGAAGGAAAGAAAAAAAGAAAGTCAGCAAAATCGTATGAAAGCAAGCTCTAATGCCATGAAAGCTGAAGAGAGAAAGGAGAGTAAGGATACAGGCGAAGAAAGGAAATTGAAAGGAAAGGCTCCAGTCCAAACTTTTTCTCTCATGAGAAAGCAAAATGCAATAAATACTGCCTCAGTGGCTCCAGACTTGGGAGACAGAGAGAAACTTATCATTGACAATGA